GAAGGTCCCCATCAGTTGTCTGCCACGTGGAAGAGCCCCCATCCCTGAAGGCCTTGGTCAGCTATCTGTCATGTGGAAGAGCCCCCATCCCCGAAGGCCTTGGTCAGCTATCTGTCATGTGGAAGAGCCCCCATCCCCGAAGGTCCCCATCAGTTGTCTGCCACGTGGAAGAGCCCCCATCCCTGAAGGCCTTGGTCAGCTATCTGTCATGTGGAAGAGTCCCCATCCCTGAAGGTCCCCATCCCCGAAGGCCTTGGTCAGCCGTCTGCCCCGGAAGAGCCCCCATCCCCGAAGGCCTTGGTCAGCTATCTGTCATGTGGAAGAGCCCCCATCCCCGAAGACCTTGGTCAGCTATCTGTCATGTGGAAGAGCCCCCATCCCTGAAGGTCCCCATCAGTTGTCTGCCATGTGGAAGAGCCCCCATCCCTGAAGGTCCCCATCAGTTGTCTGCCACGTGGAAGAGCCCCCATCCCCGAAGGCCTTGGTCAGCCGTCTGCCGCGTAGAAGAGCCCCCATCCCTGAAGGTCCCCATCAGTTGTCTGCCACAAGGCCTCCAGAGATGGCAATAAAGTCACTATAGGGGAAGTGGTAGTGGTAATTCTTTGCATTGGCTCATGGGAAAGGTCTCCAAGAAATAAGAGTCATAGCCTCAGGGGTGGTGGGGCCTCCACCTCTTGTCCAGGCTAAGAGCCACATAATCATTTGGGGGTCCTAGGTCCACGGCCAGTCAGTGGGGGTTGGGCTGGAGCTTGGCACAGCCCCCTGGAGGTGGACCCGCAGGGCACCTTCTGTTTTAACTAAGAGTTGGAGCTCACAGTACCTGGGCCTGAGGGCCCCTTTCTTCTTCCAGCACTGTGAGTGGTGCTAAGCCAGTGGCCTGCTCCAGGGGAGCTCAGTTTCCCCATCAGATGAGCTCCAAGTAACCACTGCGGGGAGGCTGCTGGAAGCTGGGGTGAGGAGCGTCCACGCCCAGCCTCAGAGCAGGCCGAGCCCCAGGGCTGTGCCCAGGAGGGGTCTCCTGCACACCAGGGTTCTGAGGCTGGTCTGGGCCCCTCCCCTCCCATCGAGCTGCCAAGATGCAGGAATGACCACATCGCTCCCCTGGGCAAAACTCCCCCAGGGCTCTTTGTCCTCTCCCTAGACACCTGATCCCAGGACTGGCTCACTTTTGGCCCCGGGGGGACTAAGGGGCTGTGAGGGGCTTGGTTAGTTACCCCCCAGGTCCCCCAAACCCTGGGAGTGCTGGGCAGCATTCCCCCTGATGAAGCTCTCATTTCCCAACCCCTCCCCTGGGCAGCCCGAAGTCCACCAGTGGCCCTCAGAGGTTTCCCCTTTGTCTGTGATGATGGACCCTTCCACCTTTCTTGTCCAATTGAGTGCATGCCTCCTCCAGGAAGCCTTCAGCCCTGCTCTGACCCACACAGAGCGCCCTCAGGATTCCCTGGCATTTCATCTCCTGGTGACAGCACTGCTTGCCCCCCTCCTCCCCACTGGTCCCCAGAGCCCAGGGTTTATGTGCCTGGACTCCTGGCCTTAGGATTCCCATTGGGAGCATAGAACAGGAAGTCATCCCAATGCTGGAGCTTGTCTCCCAAAGGGGACAAGAAAATGCCCCTCTTTCCCTTTTTCTGAAGAGGCGGGGGGCTCTGGGTGCAGCTCGCGACATTCGCCCCATCACCCTCTGAAGAGGCGGGGGGCTCTGGGTGCAGCTCGCGACATTCGCCCGTCACCCTCTGAAGAGGCGGGGGGCTCTGGGTGCAGCTCGCGACATTCGCCCGTCACCCTCTGAAGAGGCGGGGGGCTCTGGGTGCAGCTCGCGACATTCGCCCCGTCACCCTCTGAAGAGGCGGGGGGTGGGGGGGCTCTGGGTGCGGCTCACGGCATACACTGTCACACTCCCTTGATGCTGGTTGGTTTTACTGAGTTGCTTCCCCCCTTTTAAAGTCATCATGACCAGGCAGGAGGCAGCGCTGAGGAGGGACATTCCCACTCTAGGTCGTGTACAAAGGAGCTGTCAACGAGGAGGAGTAAGAAAAAGGTTGTATTGTACGATGAATCATAGACCGCTAAGACTAACGCAGCCAGATGGGGAGGGCTCGATGGGAGTCATGGCGGCAGCGTGTCCAGAGCACTCGAAGGCTCGTCCTCACAGCCACCCTGGGAGGGAGGGTTGTCCTTGTGCCCATCTTACAGATGGGGAAGCAGGCAAGCAACAGTGAAGTCACAAGCAGGAAGCCGGAGGCAGCGTCTGGATTTGAACTCGGGTCTTCCTGACTTCCTTAGATACCCTGTTCATACAAAAGGTGCCCCTTCCCTCCTCCAAACTTGCCTCTTGCTGTCTAGGGCATGGGATTCAGCGCCGGGCTCCTCCTCCACTGCCTCAGGCAGGCATTCTGTGCCCGCATCCCAGCCGCTGCCCATTTCCTTGTTTCTAGACACACTGCTGGCGCCCCAAGCCCTGTGGGGCCCTGCCCCTGTGTCCCGGCCACCAGCAGGTGGCCACCCCCACCCCTGCTCCCTGAGCTCTCCAGACACATGCACACGTGAGCTCCTCGAGGGTGTCTGATGTGCCTGGCGACTGTGTGTGCATGGGGACGGTCACCGCGGCCCCAGTCCTCGCTTGGCGCCCTCCCCCATCCCAGCCGCACCTGGGCCCTGTTGGACCCACACCCCACCCACTTCATCCTCCCAAGAAAGTGACCAGCTGACGGATGGCCAGGACAGGGCTTTACTCCACAGTCACAGAGCTGGAAGGCATCTCCGTGGCCATCTCCACAGTCCAAACCCTCCCACCCCCAGCAGTCCATCTAACCAACCCTGTGGGAGCCTGGCCAAGCCTCAGGATTCCAGGGACCCTCGGGACCCACCACCCCCAACAAGGAGGACACACTGGCCTCCCCCAGGGCAGGGGACCGGGACACAGACCTTCCTCCCCTGCCAAGGCACAGTCTAACTGGGCCCTGTCTAAAGGCACTTGAGTCCACCCCTGGAGTCCCAGGGCTGAGGTGAGGAGCTCAGTTCCCCTGCCCTAAATCAGGGGACCCAGCTCTGTCCCCCAGCCTCTTCTCCACTGAGGCGGGGTTGGGTCTCCAGTGCATCAGAAGGAGCGGGGGCCACCCCCCACCGTTGGAGGTCACATCCCAGCCCAGCTGCCCAGGGGACACCCATCTGTAAAATGGGTGCAGGGTTATCGGCAGGTCGGGGCAGAGGCAGGCAGGGCTGTGGCTCCCTGCTGCCCCCCACCCCGCAGTCAGTAGATTTACACACGGCTTGAGTATAAAGTGATAAAGAAAGGTGGCAATAAGTTAGCGTGAAGGCAGGCGGGACGGTGCCCCTGGCCCCAGAGGGACCTAGTAGTGTTCCAGCTTCAAGCTTTTGTACAGACAGCAGGTGAAAATCATTCCGAAGATCTGGGAAGGAGACAGAGGAGGGAGGTTGGAGGGGGCTGCCAGCACCCCCTGCTCTCTAGCCTGGCCCGGCTCGGCCCGGCCCTCACCTGCACACCAGCAATGCCCAGGCCCATGGCCCCGATGATGCTCAGGTGCTCCTGGATGAACTTCTCCAGTTTGGTGATACAGCCGCCCTGGGGAGAGGAAGGCCCAGAAGCCCTGAAGGCTGCCCTCAGCCAGAAAGCCTCCCCAGGGATGCTGGGGCCAGTACCCCCCGGGGGCCAGCGAGGGGTGGGCGAGGCGGTGGCCGGGACCCCTGGGCAATCATTTCTCCACCTCTTCCTGCCCTCACTTCTCCCAGCCCCCACATACTTCCACTTTGTAGATGTTGGACGCGTGGTCCCGCTGACCGCAGCCTTCCACAATGGTCTTACAGCAGCTGTCGGGAAACTTCCGGCCCTCCGCCTCCCCGGACCGAATCCACACACTCTCCTGCCAGTCCCTGGAATTGTTGCTCCCACAGCAATGGAACTAAAGTGGTCAGCAAAGGGGAGGCTGGAGTGAGGAGGAGGCCAGGGCAGGGGGAGGCCAGAGTGAGGAGGAGGTCAGGGCAGGGGGAGGCCA